AAAAAAAAATGATGTCTTCTAGAAAATATTCAAAACTTCCCAAAATTATTATTTAAGCCTCTAAAAGAAATTTCATAATTTTTGCCATAACAGAGGGTTCCTTCTTATTGCCTTGCTATTCTGAATTCCTAAATATTCTTAAGCTCACCTTTTTTTCAACACTCCTCTCATACCAACCAAAAGTTATCATTAATAATTTATCTGTTTATTCATCCATTCACTTACTTAGGTACCTGTGACCTCATTCATCAAGCAAATTGGTATCTACCAAAAAAGAAAAAAATAAATTGATCATCGAGTCATTGCAAACCATACATTGAAGGATAAAAAGAGGAAACCCAACCCCACCCCCCTCCCTCAATATTTCTCATTTATTTACTATTTTTATTAGTGCGGCATTGATAATTTTAAAGATATATCTCATAGAGGTTTCACAAATATCTATTTTAAGTTGATTAATATGTGTCCAGAATGATTTACAGTGGGTGACTCAGTTAACCCCAGGGGTGACTCATTAAACCCCATGGTCGGGGTTAAGTGGGTCAAAAAGGTTACCCTGCTCAAATTAAGATTTCGACTTTACTTTATGCACAGAAAATTTGCTCCGGCATAAATTCAATAGCTGAGAATATACTTGATCGTATTAAATCATGAAATCAGACAAAAAAATTTTAAATAACATTTAGGAGCGTTTTCCTAAAACTGACTCAAATAACCCCACTCTCCCCTAGTAAGTTGATTCCGATTAAATCCACCCAATTCCACCTCAAAGAAGTTTGTTTATACTATATATGATAATTCATTCTGAAAAAGTAAAATGATGACAGGACCTTTGAGTCACAGCGTCTAGGTCACAATGGAAATACCTTGTTCCTCTTTATTCGAATACGTCCAATTGAGGGATGAGCCTTTGCCCTGTTGCACATTTTAAGTTATAGGTTTAATAAAAGAAGTGTTTGTGCATATCATCGGGGGTTAATGGTGAAAAAGATACTACGTTTGTTTCATACTCACATCGTGAACTGGTGCTCCTTTGTTAAAACGAAACAAACAAAAAAACAAGCCAAGGGTCTAATTTATACTCCTTGGCGATGAGCAAAGTGTCCTTTTTGCCTGGGCCGGGATGTATGGTCTCCTATATTAAACCCCTCGGAGCCTCGGACTTTCTAAATCCTCCTTACCCTTAACCCTCCCACGCTTACGTTCACACTTTGTTTTCTCTGAGCTGCGTGTAATTTGTCATGCGGCCGGGCTCTTCGTTAGTGGTTCAATCACAACTACATGACACCACACCTAACACTCCTGAGATACCTCAAACGTCAGTAAATCCACATTTTTCCGTAAATCCACTGATTCCTAGATGTAATTCTGTTTGCTTTAAATAATGGGATACACTTAAGAACAAATGCATCTTTACACTGCGCCTTAAGTAAAGTGATTCCTATATTTTTACTCGAAAGTGTTTATAATTTGGTAAATTTACAAATTCTTTCCAACGATAATTGAATCAGGATCATGATTATTTTACAAAAAATGGTCAAATTTTTTTTTGACCATAATAAAAAAAATTTAATGAAATTTTCGTCTTTTTGTCTCTCGCTGCGTTCTGATTCTGTAATGGGGGGATAAAATAATCTAAACTCACGTAACTCAAACGGTAGAGTGGACAGTATATTCGGAGAATACAAGAGCGCTATCACTAGATCGCTGCCTCGAAGATACGACCACGCGCCGCGGGCCCCTCAGAGTATATATCTCGGTATCATCCGGAAGAGCGATGACGTCCGAAGATGCCATTGCGATGATCTGCAATGCTCCAAGGTAGATACTCTGAGGTCGCCGAAATGCACGCGCGAGCTTGCGCTCCGAAAGTGATGGCTTTCGGGCTGAAGGAGCTAGAAAGCATAATAGAATGCGGCCCTAGAAACGTAAGTGATATGGCCTCGTTCTATTACACCATCCCACCATACGTTAAAAAAAAATAGTAAAAAAAAATAATTTAACCATCCCTTTCGAAGCAAAGGCCCATGCGCAGGAAATTGCAGCGTTTCGTCGTAAAAAAATAGTAAAATAAAAGAAGTTAAAAAAAAATCATAAATAAAAGAAGGCTAGCGGTAAAAAAAACATTAATCGAATGGTAATAGAAAATATGACTTTTTCCAGAAAAAAAAAAAATATAAATAAAGCGGCTACAATCTTTGCCGGAATCCAATCAGAGCTTTGGTTTGAAGAACTTCATGGCTTTTCTGTTCATTTAACAACATCCCAAAAGAACCATGAGGCCACTCTGCCTCAGCCCTAACCTGATTCTTCCCGGTACTCGTTAAAAAAAATCGAGCTAAAAACAAAATATAAATAAATACGCTCTTTTATCTAGCACCGGGTTATTTTCTTAACCTAGGTAAATATAACAAAACGCCGAGAAGAGTTTTCCGTGACCGTCCGTCCAACGCATTCATGCTGATTCAGAAATCGCCTGGTAGTCATGTCATTGCCCAATGCTGCTGTTGATGTACACCGTCAACATCCGCTGTTATCCAAGTTTCAGCCGCCTCGCAGTACAGTGAGGATGCATGTTGCCAAATCTATGAGTTGTCCATCGATGACCTCGCGGGAAAGATGTTAGGACCCACCAATTAGGTTGCGGAAAGTTCACCAATCGCCCTTGCTGCGATTGCAGTGTGTCCCCTAGGATGTCCAAGGATGCCTTCGGATGTCCACCGGCCTGATGCCCCCGACGACCTCTCGGAAGGAATGCGCCTGATCCCGCCCAGAGGTTGATGCAGGATGAGCCAGGTTTGCAGATCGCTCTCGACTTGACAGCAGCGTGTCCCCCGGGATGTCCCAGTATCCTCTTTGGTTGTTCGCCGGCCCGATGTTCCCGACAAGGAGATATGACGATGGGAGAAGTCCCTCGGGAGGAACGTGCCCGACTCCGCCGAAAAGTTGATGCAGCGAGATTTTCCAGGGATGTTGGGGGATGTCGACCGTCACCATCCATGGATGAAGACAGCTTATATATCTTCTTGATGAGCCTGTGAGCCCAGGGAGATGCTCCGAGCGAAGAACCGGGATGACCAAAATCCCACAGGCACCAACTGGAATGAGCCGGCCTGCGGCCTGCCATGGGCAGTGAAGTTAGTATCACTTCGGTTGGGTGTCATCTGCGACGTGTAGTATTCAAGCGACATGGACTGGAAATGCGTTTCTCGTCAGTGATGCGAATTCCAAGACGGCATTAGGAAACTCCCCTTGCGAACAGGACTTCTGAAACGTTGCCCACAAAAAAACACACGATTAGATTACTAGGTTAAAATTTCCTATTTTCAGTAGAAAGTATAAAAATTCTAAATTTTTATGAATACAACTCTAGAATATCATTCATGCAATAATCATTTATTATGTTATCATTCAATATGTAATCGATAATTTACTGCACATAATGGTAATATAGGTAAAAATAACAAGAAATTACTTTCCAATTCTATATCGAAAACTGACTTGCGCCTGATGGTTTTTTTCTTAAAATAAAAATAAATAATTAGTAGAAATTACTTTCTACTCATATACGGGGGCAGTAGCGCCGTCTCCACCACGAAATTTTTTCCAGATAAAAAATCGAAAACTGTTCTGGGTTTCTTTGTTGTTACAATAAATTTGTGCATATTTTCATTTTAACACAACGATTCCTAATAAATTGACGGTTGTTTGAAGGGAACAATAACCATCTTGCTTACTTAAGTATCGCAATTGATACAAATAAGGAAAGACTTACGGAAAGGAAGTAGGTTTGAAAAGTAAAATTTGCAGATATAATTAAATACGTATTAAAGGAATAAAAATGTCATAAAATCAGGATTAACAAAATGTGACAACGCTGCACACAACGTGCTGCGTGTTTAAAAATTCGTTTATGCTTAGGTACCCCTGACATTTCCGCAAGTAAAGGAAAAAGCCTTACCTTTTTTAAGAGAAAGTATCAATTTTATAAAGTTAGTAATGACGTTAGGTAGTTCTAGTTTAGTTCCCGGTCGTAATCCACAATGAAAATTAATCAACGTTTTTTTTTTGCTTATTCTTTTGATTTAATATAATGGAAATAGAAAATCTTTAAGAAGAAAATCATGAAGAAACTAAAACAGTAAAGAAAGAGTGAAACAGGACTCCTAGAAAGAAGTAAAAATACATTGTGAGACTACAAAGTTAGAAATGCATACTTCTCAAAATGCTTAGAAAATAATTCTGAAGCAGGTGAAAATATTCAATATCAGAGTTTAAAAATATTTTGAACTCATTCTCCTGTTACCTAAATTGCAGCGCACATAACGACATTATTTTCTTTTCTTGAGAGAAAAAGAAAAACATTCTTGGGAACTACATTTATACGAGGGCAATAGCTTCTTTCTGGTTGAGAAAAAAAAATATGCCTAATCCATGTCGACAATAACCTAGATTAAATTACGGGGGCGTTAGCGATTCCACCACGTTCTCTTTTTTCAGGAAGAACGAAACCTGTAACGAGTTTCTGCCATATTACAGCAGAACTAAAGAAAACTTAAAGACTTAAAAAAAAAAAAAAAGCGAGAGACAGACCTCAGAAGGATTTGATGAAAGTATTCACCGTAGGTCACCGAAATTAATTTGCTCTACGGTTAGATTGATAAAATGGGACTAAAAAATCTAAATTTCGATGTAAAAGTAGTTGATCAAGAAACTTGGTTTTTTCCATCTTGATCGCGCAATTACAGAAATCGTGCAATGCAACATATATGTACCGGTACATGCAACACATACCCAACAAACATATTAAGCATGTACAAAAAGCATGAAAAAGTCAAGAGTAATAAAAATAAGTAAATAATGAAACTAAAGTACGTGCATGCATTCTAAATAAACCGAAGAGGACCGTGAAGGATAGGAGGAAAATAGACGGAGCTAAAAGAATAAAATTTTCCAGGAGGGAAAAAAAAATATTAATCTTTTCTCCAAACATAAGACGATCAAGAAATGTTGAAGATATTTTCTTAAAAACTGACTTTTGCAACCTCTTCTTTTTTTTAGATGGACTTTCCAGTAAACAAATGGTCCATTTTTTTATGTATAATTCTTGATTCACCGACCTTCGGAAAAGTCCATTAAGAACAGTAAAATTTAAACCAACAAAAAAGAATCTGAAAATCAAAGAATATATTATCGTATTCTGTAAAAAAATAAACCATCGTCATTAGGATAAGAAAGTTATACGTCTTGAAATCGAAAATCCTAGATTGACACTATCCCCCAGGATCGAATTTCCTCCTAAATCTCCAATTCTTGGGAGGCAATCTTCTCCAAGAAAAATCATGATCCAGCTTGGATCCCTTAAAATGATCATTACGTTTCAAGCAGACTTTCTTATTGAACTTCGATTTGGCATCATCCGTGTAATTCGTAGTAGTGCAGCCTCGCTTTTCCTCACTCCTTTTCTTGAATTTGTAAACTTCGCGACTGGCGGCGTCAATGTTTTGAAAATCGCTGCGCTCACCTTGTTTACCTGAAACGCGTAAACCACGCGTAAGTTCAAGTTCATCGCGTGTTACCGTGAAAATTTCGACCTCGTGTTCGAGTTTTGATGCCTCTATTCTAGTTTCTTGCTGATCAAAATGATCATATTTACCATTTTCTTCAATAGAACTTACGAATTCCGTAGGGAATATTTGTATGTTGTGAAAATCTCCATCCTGAGTTTCACATGCGGCTGGGCTCTCTTCAGATTTGCAAATCTTGAACGTGTCGGGATCTCCACGCTCCCTAACGGGCTCGACACTTCCTTTGTTTATGCAAATTTCCTCAGAACTAACTGAAACAATGCTCAAAGATGCATTAGACCCAAAATTCGTATCATTAAAATCAGGCAAGGAATGAACCTGCTCTGTGACCTCCTTTACTTCGGACGAAGACTTATCGTTCGAATAAACCTCTCGCTTAAAGTTTTTATTCTGCATGAAATTTACACTTCTCACGTAAATAGGTTCGTGATATACAGTAACTGAATCCGAAAAATCGTATCCAAAGTTGCTCAAAATCACCTCTTTTCTACTGAAATTGTTCTGTACCTTGCATGTTTTTGCCCTCTTGTAATCGTTTCTAGGCAAAATCTCGGTGTCCTCATTAGAAAACGTCCGTTTCGAGCCGCGGGCCGTAGTTTCGCCGCATGCTCCAACATCGCTCTCAGGAAAAGACTTAGGACTTGATTCAGCTACCTTGTGTTGTCGTAGCGCTTTAAACACAAAGTTCGCTATTTTCTGACGTGCTGACTCGGACAACTGACGAGTAACCCAGTAGTCGGGACCGGGGCCGTACGGTAGTTTTCTCTGGACGGGACTATATACCGTCCGGTATTCGTCCGCCCCTAACTTTGCTAACGATTGGTACTTTAGATGGCGACACCTTCCCGCATTCTCTCTCAAAATTTTGATCACGATCTGGAGCAGAGGATCGTACTTGGGCTTGTGTTGATGTGGTACACTGAATAAAAACACAGGCCTTTCCTTGGCTATTGCTTCCAGACATTCCAATGACAGGCCGCTGCCGATCTTCTCAGGTTCCTGTACGGGGTGTACGTTTAATGCACCAGCCATGACAATGATGACGTCGCCTAAGCGTTGCTCGTCGTTCTGTTTTGAAATTTTGTCGACGATGGCTTCAAATCTGTCCAATCTACCCCCTTCTTCCGAGACTTCGAAGTCTTCACCGAACTTATGGGCGATATTTGAAACCAGGGATTCTGCAGTGAAGTCCGCAAATATTTGAATGCGCTTCCTTGGAGATTTTGCGACATTGACGCGGTCCTCATCCTCATTTTTGGCGGGTGTGGTTATCCCAGTCCCTTCGACTCCGGAACCTGCCGAAAATTTTGCCGGTTAGCCGCTACTTCCTTCCTCATGTGCGGCAAGACCTCCCTCAATGTCCAGTATTTTCTGTTCTTAATCCACTGATTCCTTCGCATCTTAGACTGACTTAATGCTCTCGTCACCTCCAGCTGGGTTTGACATTCCCGAATATTTTCTCGCCATACCTGGCGGAAAACTTGCCTGAAAAGACGCCTCTTTCTAAGCTGGAAGGTTTGCTCTCGGTTCTGGTTCATGATTAGGCTTTGGTACCTGATTCTAGTGTCCAATCTCACCGCCTCCCGCTCGTCCTCAATTAAACCGGCATGAAGTAGTATGGACTCGGTCAGGTTCGCTTTGTGTTTACTGGCATCAGCGTTTTCGAGACCTCTCTCGGTGCCATGAACGTGAATGGGAGAAAAACAAGTTTCTAAAAAAACAAATTCGCGATAATTTCGTTTTATGCTATTCTCTTCATTGAGTTGCTTCCCGTAACTCTCACACGAGTCGCAATTCAATGTAGACAAGGTAGCGTTACTTGTTTATTTACGCGACGCGATGCTTATGGGTCGGCGCACAGTTTCCCGACGAGCGGAGAAAATTTTGATTTTTAGAAAATGTATGAATATTTCCGCGTACTCGGCACTAATTTTTAGCTGACACTGATAGAAGCAATGAAAGAAGAATCAGCAAAAAGGCTTAAAGAAATCCCAGATATCGTCGCGCGTCCAGATTCTATGCGCAAACAGCGTCGTGACTTAAAAAGTTTGATCGCAGCTGCGTACGAGAATCAGTACGGGAGGATGGATCTGAGGCAAAGTCGCCAAATTTGCGATAGGCACAAGGAATCGATACGCTTAACCTAAACTTTCTTTTAAAAAAAAATGTCAGTATGAAGAAATCAACTTTCAGAACTTTGAAGTATGCACAAGTTAAACTTCGTAAAGATTTGATCTTGCTCACTGAAACAGAATTTAAAAAAAAAATAGTTTTTCTGCTGCCCCAGAAATTATTTGAGCTATCTGCAGCTTTGAAAATTTACTACGTAAAGTAAGATTTGCGAATTAAATTCGACTGATAATATAAAATTTCAATGAAATATACTCAAGACTTTTGTCTAAAAAAAAAGAATTAATTCTTTTCTGCTGCCCCAGAAATGATCTGCAGTAAAATTTGTGAATATAATTTCACAATTCAACAATAAACAATAATTCAAATAATCAAATAAATTCAAATAAAAAAAAAAAAAAAAAAAAAAAAAAAAAAAAAAAAAAAAAAAAAAAAAAAAAAAAAAA